TCCCCAAGCTAGCTGAGGGGATATTAAAAAAAGGTTTTGCAGCTGAACGCTTCAGAAGTCCCAATACTCACAGCCGCATTCCCTTTCTTTGACTGCGCTGCGTCTAAGTTCGGTGCGTTGGACGTACTGAACGCACGCCAACTTCGCTGGAAAGGTAATCGTCTGGGCAGCAGGGGTCCCGGCACGGGGATGAACTCCTCCAGAGTTCGTGGAAAATCCTTAGGCTCGGCCCCTGCAATGTCAATTCATCTCTAAGATCCTTGCTCGAGAGCGCGACGTCCTGGGGATCATTTGCCTGCCAACTCTACGCGCTCGAATTTCACATCCCTAGCCTTCTTCTACCATGAGGACTGCAGGACTACAGAACGAAATCCCACCTCCCAGAACCAGGCGATGGCATCAGATGCCTCGCATGAGCACAACAGTTGCCGCATTCGCCTGCATGCCGTAGAGTCCTGCTTACTTCATGCCGGGCCCCAGGCCGCAGAGGACAGCCACTCCATGGCCGCCAGTCGCCGAAAACCAGCGATGCAGCTCCGGATGGCTTCTACGAAGGTAAAAAATAGATGTCGTCAATTAAGTCCCTTCCATTCTCGTCGACTTACCGGGCTTCCTGAATTCTCCCTAAGATTCTTCTGCCATTCGTCATTTGGAACAGCTCGCTGCGGGCAGCGCACTTGAAAGACTACTCGTACTGTTCAACCTCGTCATATTCCACAGAGCCAGATCGTGAGTGGCAGTAGTGGTGGTAATATCTGAGGAGTCATTCAAGGAAACTGCCCTGAACCAAGTTACAAGTGAAACGGTACTGCGCAGCGCCAATGTTCCAGCTGGATAACACAAACAGATTTCTTGAACCAAGTCCAGCAGCACCTTTCTTTGCTCAAGCACAGACCAGGCTGATCTTCGGGATCTGATGCGGCAAGAGTCAACCAGGCATGCCGGGCCCAAGTTGGCTAAACATTATCTCATCGTGACTTGCAGCGGCTGGGTGCCCTGCTACAGCAGCAATGTACTCATAGAGCTCGCCGCCGCGGCAAAGTTCGAGCCTGAATTCTTTCAATCACTATGCGAACTGGCTCTCTTTTCGGAAGTGTCAGCTCAGACCGTCCGCAACCGAACACGCTTATCAAGCAAGAACAGACTTTTGCATTCACCCAGGCATGAAAGTTGTTTAGCAAGGCCGCCATGCACTTCCAGGGTCGGCTTCGCTCAGCTCCAAGCACGACCCAGAGGGAATGACGCTCCTCGAAGCACTCGTACATCTTCACAATGTGCGGGTGCTCCGACCTCTGCTTTTGCTTCCAATGTAATAAGGTGTCGTTGTGGGCAGGCACCTGTAGCAGTGGCGATACATCATCATCACCACCACCATCATCGTCATCAACACCTCATCGCCTCATCGTCATCATTGTTTCAAGTACAGCCCAGAATCAGTACCAACGACGCACAACAAATGCCACAACTGCTGCAATCCAACTCACAAGCTCCCCTTCTCTTCGCAGCCTCGCGAGGATGGCCCTCTCCTTTTCGAAGCTCTCACGCATGGCCTTAGCGCTCATGCCTGGCACCCAGCATCTCAAATGTCTCATACGAGCAGCGAGTTTCTTGGAAGTGGCATGCAAGAATGCTACATAAAGTAGACCCATGCGATAGCCGTACACCGCTTTGCAGATCTTGATACCAGATTGTGCGACATCCCCTTACGTGTTGTTAATACAAGGCCTTGCAGCTGGGAATGCTAAAGGGCGTTATAGGTAATTGGACTTCGCTTGCATGAACCAATTCCCTCTACCAAACAGCAGTACTAGGCATGACAAAGCTCCAGGTGGGACATCCCAGCACTTTCGCATCCACTTCTGTTGGTTCCCAACTGATCCTGGAAATCGCGGAAAGTCAAGATACTAGTTATTGCCGAGATGAACATGTGAGGTAAACCTACAAACCGTGAAGCAATGTGACAACGATCTGCAACAAGCTCGACACTGACTGAACCGTCGCAGGCCTTTCACAAAACAAAACGCGCATCAACCGCGATGAGCGATACAAGACTGCCGGGCACACCGGAAGGATCGCGGGAGTTTGCCTGGCCGTTCGTGGATTGAGGATGTCATAACGGTTTCTCCCTCCACGCCAGCTTGTTCATGTGTCTAGGCTACATCGCTTGGAATTCTTGGGATTAGCCCACAGCTGCTACGTACAAACCATCATCAAAATAGCCGCCATCATGAGCTGCCTTAAACGATTGATTATCATCACCGCCATCATCATCAGCAGTACTTCGCATCAGCTGCTTTCATTATCACCATCATCATCCTCATCATCATCATCATCATGACCATGATAATCCAGCTACTGAGCATGTCCGAGGAATAGCTCATCATGAACACCCAGTGCCAGACTCGACCCTCAACATCACGGCATTCAACCCTGCGCCCTTACACCAAGCCTTTCCTGTCCAGCCTCAGCAATCTTGAAGCACTTGACAGCCACTTTCCGAGGATGGGAAGGCTGGGAGCCGCCTCAGCCCAGGGGCTGCTGAAAATGCAGGTACACCATCAGGGGCCCTATAAACCCTCCTCAATTCGATCTCCAAATCCAAAAATGCAATTAGGAACCCCTCCTGAAATTGCAAGATCCTTTCTGCCAAAGCGCTAAACAGTGGGAAGTGCCGGCTACCCATATTGGCCAGTTCTGCTACTCGTCAGTATTACTGGAGCTCCAACTAAACCAGGATAACCTGGCTCCGGCCGACATCCCCGCGGGAGGGGGGGTTCCTGAATTTGAAGTGGACATTATAGTGACGTGACGTATACGGCAGTATACGGATTGCATTATCAAGAATTTTGTAGGGTTTTTTGCGGGGCAATTCTCATAAGCTGAATGGCACAGTGAAGCTCCAGAGAGCTGCGTGTGACCTAGGAGTAGCAATTTGCTTCAACATTCTTGAATGCATGGGCCAACCACCATTGTACGATAGAAGGCAAGCTAACATACCAACATGAACATAGATACAACCTGGTTGCACAAATGTTGTCTGCAGATACATGGAGCTTCATGGAACTAACCTTTGCATTGAAGACCACGCCCCAATCCCCTCTGGCGCACCTGCCGAAGGGAGGACCTTAATAGTCTCGGCCTCGAAGACCAAGCCATAGGTACCTTCCCCCACCTCGGTAGTAGGGTTCGGGGTTTGGGAAACTCTGAGTTTAGGAAGGGCTTGCCACCCACACAAGCCTGCATCGACAAAAGCACGAAACAGCTTGTCGGAGTGGCAGGGCCTGTCGCAGGATGTTGTAGTGGTTGGCAAAGCTCGTCTTCAGATGCGCAGAGAACACCTGTGCGAGACAGGCTGCTCAGACTTGGCCCTGAAGAATGCGCGCACCAATCACCAATCTGGCCACAGATTTTGCTCTAAGCGGCTTGGCCAGATAGGTAGTTCCCCGTAAGCCAATATCAAGGAAGATCTCCGAAACCCTAACAAAGAAACCTGGCGCAGCAATTTCGAGCAAGCTTTTAACTCACAAGGCTCCTGCAGAGACTTGTCCTACTCAGGGCAACAAGCGAGGGGTGCCATGGCTGAAGATGTGCCAGCAACAGATCCCGCGCAGAGGAGCTGACAGGATTATTCTCCCAACGTTTCCAGCTTCTGTGCTTAAGCCAAAGATATCAACACCGTCATGTCACCTTCCGCGTTGTTGTAGCCAGGTTTCAAGTTACGTGGGGGTTGTGGATGAGGTCTTGAGATCATGTGGAAGGTCGGGCTGCTGGGGGCGGCGCCCTGCGCCGCGCGAGCGCCCAAACGCCAAGCTGACTTCGCCTGGTGCGGATCCCTACGAAGCTAAATGAGTTCGTCTCAAAGATCGGGTCTTCCTGTCTACCCCCTTGCAACTGATATGGTCTTTATTCTGATGCCCTCCACAGAGAGAGACGGCTGAATCCAACACCTGGGATTGAAGGGTTGATGGACCCTGCACAAGTACGTGGATACCAGGAATTAAGATGTCGGAGCTGTGGCTTTGTGGGATTGAAGGGCTTCGAGCATTCGGATTGCAGCTCAGTGTCGAGCCCCTTCTAGGCAATTCGAGGATTTTGATCCGTCAGTTGCTGGACTGCAAAAATGACTCAATTCTGACAGCCCTCTCTTGGCCACAAAAAATCAAAGAAAGACAATGCTTTCTGCCCATTGCCGTGGATGCTCTCAGAACCTAGCCGGTCTTTCAAGTCGGAGTCAGCTTCCAACTCGACCGCCTCCTGTATCCTGCAGCCGCTATAAAGCTTCAGCATTCGATCCGTGTTATGAAATTGGTAGTTTCGAGCATGTGCCAGCAGAAATGCTGGTCTGGACAGCAACGGCGCCTCAAGCCATCCGTAAGCGTGTCCGCCTCAAGGAAAGTTGCCTGTTATTCGCAGTGCAGCTGTGCTGCTGACGGTTACAGATTCAGCAGTTCCACTAGGACGCATTCGGACGCCTCTTGCCCATTGTGGATGCAACCACACTGAGCAAAGCCGCCCCATCCAAGCCTGAGTCCCACTTGAGAGAAGAATGGTGTTCACATCATGATTGCAGCATATCTCCTCATCAAACTTCATTTCCAAATCGCGCCGGCGAGTCTAAGGTCCGTGCTGCTTCTGCGAAGCTTGACCCATGGGCTGCTGAGCGGGAAGCCTTGTCAGGGTCTGATCCACGCTTTATCTGACCTGCTTGCTTTGCTGAGCCAGAAGAGTCCTGCTGAACATCTTGGAGCAGCCTTCCCTGAAACCCAAGGTCTCGGGGGCAGACAATAGGTGGCCTCAAGACATGTTCTCGCACGCGGCGCTCGCAGTTGCTGCTATCTTCTGCTGGCCCATCCACCTGAGAAACAATTCTCAGCCCTCCCCCTCCCGGCTTGAGGTATGTCCGGGTGCCCATGAAAGGTTACAATTCCTGAGAGAGAGCCACTCACTCTTCTCCTCAGCTTGCAAACAGAAAGCCCCAAAGAAGACCTGTACAATCCTGTCCTATCAGAAGAACTCAGCGCAGAGCCACCTCCGCAGCCCTGCAGGTTCCAAGGCATGCTTTTGATCCGTCCGGCTGCGGTGCTCAGCTCTCTTCTTGGCCGGCAGGATTAAGCAAAATAATCATAGCAAGACCGAATGTGCTCAGAATCAAATGCGTGTAGAAACGCAATGTGATTTAACGTTCGTGCCATGTTATGGGTACGTGCGTTTCAGAATTGTTGCCGGCCATTTTACATTAGACCATATTAGACCCCTGCTGGAAGGGAGCCATGAAAGGAACCACGACTGAATGACCTGAGAGTTTCTGGATGGAGGCTTCCCACAGGACCCCACAGATGGACTGTAGGCAGATGATGAAGGGATTGCGGCGTCATCGGGTATTACATACGGAACATCTTGAGAAACCCTCGCATGAAGAAGCTTCAGTGCCACGAAGATGAACTACTTCAGGCTTTGAGCATTACGCGTCCGGAGCTGAGCGGATTAAATGCTCTGAAAGACTGATAGTGATGACTACACTACCGTGCCCCTCACAACGGAAGCCCACGGAAGCAGCAGCCGACAGACGCGGGATGACACGGGCTTTTCCGGCACGATGGAGTCTGGGATGCCAAGACCCCAGTGTTCGGGCACAGGCTCCCAGACCTTTCTGCTGCCTCTGTTAAAGGACGCAGAGATCTGACATTAGCGCGCTTGCGTACGTGCGCAAGCTGAAGTCTGGCTACTGGTTCTTGCTTTCAAAGTGTTGCAAGTTGGACATATTTACTAGTAGCTGATTCAGATTCTGACATCTTGCTTTTGAGGGGCAGTCCAGGCGTTAGCAGTTCTGTGCACTTGCAGGAATCAAAGAATAGGTGCCCCGAGACTTTCCCATCAGCCGCCTGTTGTCAGTGTAGCCTGGACTGGCAAGGCGTGCAGGCAAGCACACCAAAGAGCTGTCGGGTTTGGGCTCAGGCTTCTACATGGTTTCAGATTCAAGCGGAGATGCGTTTCTGCAAGGTCAGGATTGGTTCGGCATGCTTCTTTTGCAACAGCATGGTTCTTGGATCTTCATTGCTCTTGTTCTGTTCTTTAGCCCAAATCGTTGGCCACATCGGCAAGTCATCCAAGGCTGCAGCCGGTAAGAGGGCCGGCGCACATGGAGCTGCGGCACCGACATGCGGTGCCCGAGTTCAGCAATGATCTTGCTTTGCTCCTGGGGACGGCGGAGAAAGGGATGGATATCAGGGCTTCAGAAAATTCCGGCCAGTATCTCAAAACCAGCAACTTGCCCTGCCCGATTCTTTGTCCTTGATGCGGCAGGCATTCTTTTGCAGCAGCAGGTGCCTGCCGAGGCGTGAACATCTGCGTCTGCAAGCAAAAACCGCAGCATCCTTACAGTTGCCCGTCAAGTCAGAACTAGCCGGATGCACATGAGGATCAGGAACTCCGGGAAATCCACTGCAATGCCTCAGCAGCCAGCCATTGAGATGCTCATTGCTTTATACTAGCGACCATCACGGACGAACAGTCAAACCGCAGCATGACAATGGTCAATGTAACTGGTACCTCCTTGGAACTCGTTGCCCATGCCTGCTTGAAAGCAACTCCATCCAACCGAGCTCTTCACGGGGCCTATTGATCGGCACGCTTTCCTCGGCTTGGTGAGCATCCTCACTTTACCCTACGCATCCTACGCCCACCGTCGGAGCTGAAGCACAAGAGGAGATGAAAAGTAGTATCCATTGAGGCGTCAATGTTCAATACCAAGGGCAGGAGCTGAGGCACGCAAATTGGCGAAACGCAAGGAGCACGGCTTCCCCAGTACTTGTGAGGGCAAACCAGAATCAAGGCTTTACTACGCCGAACAGCATGTCTCAGACAAAGCTGTAGGTGTTAGCCAATCAAGGCAATGATGTCGAAGCGTGACAAGGCCAACTGTTAGGAGTTCGGACCACCAAGCACCCTCAGGCTGAAACGAAAGTTTCCCCGTTGTTACGACACCAAAACTTTCGAGAAGCCATCAGAAGCCACAAGTGCTGGCCAGGTCTCGTAGCGCTGATGCTTTGGACTGAGCGGTGCTACAACCTGACGCTTGAGGACAGATGCGCAAAGGAATGAACTTTGAAATACTTTGAAATTATGCAGTCTAGGGTCTAGGGGCCTGCAGAAAAGCTCCCTGCAAGGGTAACCCTGCAAGAAGCCTGCCCCTAATTGCCCCTAATGCTTGACTCAGAGGAAAGACTCCTTGTCTTTCAAAAACCTGCAGCTTTGTATGAACATTTGTGTAGCGGGTTCCTCGTTCGATGCATAGATCGTTACTGGGGAAAGTCTTTGGGGTTCTACTGAGGTTCATATATGGCGTATGCAGGGTTTGCATGGTGCACGCGGTTTCCTTTATTCCCTTTCATTTGCGATCATGTCCAAACGGTGTCGGCCGAACTGACTTAAGCTCGGCCGGCCTTCTCCCTGAAATCGGAGTGCATGTGGGAATCGACATCAAAGAACAGGCAGGTCCTCCGAATGTGTTGAGGCAATCTGTGGCAAACAGCAACGGAAGCGCATGGAAAGCCACTCCACACCCGTGAAAATGTTGCCTGTCCCGACCGCTTGTGCAGGGTTGGGGCGTCTGGGTGCTACTGCTACTCACGGCTCCAAACGGGTGAAGATGCGTGAAAGCATGTTCACATCAAGTCTCGCAGGGTGAGAAGCTTCGAGCAGCGTTTCTTTCACGCGAGGCTCCACTTCCAGAGTCAACTGCTGGGCACGAAGCAAAGCTTGCACCATCTGAGCTGCGTGCAATTCATCTTCGTTTGATTTGCCAAGTCCAACGACGGACCCCAGCATCTCCAAGAACTGCAGGGCCAGGAAGCTTTTAATTCTCAAGCCCGAATTCTTGACCAAACTCTCAACAGGTGTGTCATCTGCCGCTGCTCCTGCATTGCCATAGTGACATTTTCCGTGACTTCAAATCTTTTAGGGGGATGGCAAGCGAGACCTGTAGTCCCCTGTGCACTGTGTCATGGAAGAGACGGCTGACGACATCTGTAGTTGCAGTTGGAAAATGGCTGCGGATCAGAACCCTGTGTTGTCGCTGCCACCCACACGCACTGTTACATACACCTTTGTCGGGGCATGTTGTTACCTAATGCTTCGTCAGTATATGCCTCCCAAATAGCTTTTTCGCAGAGGTGCTTTCCACAAGCCGTACAAATCTGTTATGAGCCCATGTCGTGGAACAGCCGCCCAAGCCTGTTGAAAGGTCATTGTTTGTGAGTCACAGCCAAATAAGGGCACAACCATGTGACGGCAAGTCCTGCGTAGATTAAGAGGCTGCTCCAAACGCACCGCGCTCGTTTGATTCAGAAGATAGAGGCACTGCTACAGTGCTTGTGAAGTGCTCAACACACAATCAATTAAGTGACTGTAGGCATGGTTCGAGATCGCTGAGCCTTTCGCAGAACTTCGCTAAAAACAAGAGTGTAAATCCCGAAAACGAGTGGTGACTTTGTTGGCAACGAGGATTTGTTGCAGCGGCAGACGCAGTACTCGTACAAATATTATCCACTTGCCTCGTCCAGCCTGAGAATGCCCCGCATCGAGCCCTCCTCGGACTCCTGCACATGCAGATGATCAACTTTGCAGCGATTTCTCATGACGATTCCCATGAGGAGCTTATCCGGGCACTCATCAATGCATTTTCTGTGTGCATCCGAGTCGGTGCAACTTTCCCTCAAGCAGATTACAGACAGAGTAATTCAATGCCGAAACAAATCCTGGGGCGTTTAGATCCAGGTTCGCTCAGTAAACTCTCCCCCCACCCGGTCGCATTCAGATTTGGGGGTTCGGCTGGTGTAGGTCTCACAGACCTCCCTTAGCCCTCGGCTTCAGGGGCGGGCCGGGGGGTTTTGAAGGACCTGGCGGGCGGCCTGAAGCGAGCCTGCCTCGCTGCTCTGTAGCTCTTCTCTACCTTTGCCGAGGCGGTCCCGCTCTAGCGGTTAAATTCCTCGCTACTCTCCGGTCGACGCAAGCCATAGAGCCATCACTTAAGGCCGACTTAAGGCATGGAACTGCAGTTTAAAAACCGTATCTGAAGGCTGTACAGTAATAAGAGGAATAGAACACAATAGCTTGGAAACACGAGCTCCTCCCCGAGAAAGATCCGCCGGAACTCCTCCACCTGTGGACTTGACGGCTCGCGTAAATTGTTGTTCCCAAAGTGGCTGGGGAACTCCCATAAAGCCTCCGTAGCAGCAGCCTATACCTACGGGCCTGGATCATACTGATTGGAGGGAAATAGTATGCAGGTGATGAGGATGGAAAGGAAAATCAAGGTGTTGTTACAGGCATTTCTAGACTGCCATCCGATATTGCTCTACAAGTATGTAATTCGAAGCCCTGTCTAAAAAGTGTGGAACGGCAACTGTAACGAATTGAATGCCAGAGAAGAATTCTAAGACATTTCCAAAAGGGTCCCGTAAAGTTGCAGCCAGAACTAACACATCCAACGTGCGATCTCAAACTGAGCAGGAGATGGATCTATGGCACTGCTGATATGGCTCAGGGCCAGTACCTCGCGTGATGAAAACTTGGTCTTCTCCACAGCGAAGGCCTCCTGCAGCAAGGGCCCGTAGTCGGGGCTGCCGGCACGCAGGTTCAAGGAAGGATCAGCAGCAAGGGCTATAGGGATATGTAGACCTCAAAACGCCTACAAGTGGTCTGCTCGCGTTGGAAACACTGAGCCGGTGCTTTGGAACGAGCTATACGGCCAATCATGACGACGATGCTTTCCTCCCCCCCTCCGGCAGGCTAACAACACCCCCACAAAAGCGCTCTGAGAACGTAAGGATATACAGAGAACCTCATTCCGAAAATTCCTGTGTCAACAAAACGGAAGCCATGGCGAAGAATCCTGTCCTTGGCCATCCGAAGGCGGTCCTGCATGTCATCTACCTGGCGCATAAGCCTCGAGCGGTTTGCCACTTGGCTTCAGAAGCATGGACAAATGGAAGAATGCATGTGATCATGATGTAAAAGCAAGGATAGCAGTATCAAACAATGATAAGATCATAAGAAGATATAAAAAAAGTAACAGCTGTAGCAAAATGTCTCAACCAGGAAGAAGTGAAATGAGACCTGCCCACAACACATAACTGTCAGAGCCGGAATTGTGCATCCATACAATCCTAGAAGAGGCATCGATGCCCGCCAGCCTTTTCATCAGGCCAAAAAAGGCTTGGCAACTGACACCTTCTGTAAGGCGTTCAGTTCAGTGCAGGAAAGCCGCAGCCAACCTTCCTTTTATCCCTTCTTACTGCAGCATTACATCTTTCCAATGCTCCCTGCCTCAGGAAATCGGGGAAGTCCAGGGATCCTGTCTTACCAGGATCAACCTTGGCGTGACAAACCACCTACTAGCCATCTACTACTTGGAGTCCGCTTCGAAAGAAGGGGGGAGATTGGAGAGTGTATCTTTCGGATTCGTGAGAGGAGATTAGGCATCACTGCACTGCGCAGCACCGCACCGCACCAGCACCAGCACCAGCA